CTACAGAAATAACCCCAAAAATCTGCAGTTCCACACTTTAAACTTTAAACGAGAAGCTTTGAAGGAAAGTCGGTTACTTTATAAAAGTAATACATGAATCGGTTTCTTTAATTATCACAGGAGTCGTTGCACAGACGTCTGACAGATCCTGTCACGTGTTCCTGTGATGACAACAGAGAACAGGAAGTGCAAAAAACCCCCAAAAAAACCACTGCGAGAGAGAAAAAAACCATCACTACTGCACAAAAGCATAACAAGCACAAAGGAGAATACATTAGGAAATACAACAATAGTAATAACAACACAAATAAAAGTATAGTGAGACCTTCTCTATAGAGAAATCACAGTATAAGGGAATAAATAAAGGCAATAACACAGTAATAGAAAAACAAACAAACAAATGCTAAAAAAAAAATCTATAACTAAATAAATAAGATGAATAGATTAATAGTGTGTAAAAGTGGAGGTGAAGATGTGTTCATGGAGTTTCCTCTGTTTCGGGAATCACTGAATCCTGCTCAGCTGTGGAAGAAATCAGTGGAGAAAAAATATGGATGCGACATTAATGTAGCAGGAATAACTTTTTAATGACGGCACAAATATAAAAGCGTCTCAATCGGTTCTTTCACGTCTCACGTGTATATGGCGCCCTCATCTGTCCAATCATAGACATTACACCAGAGCGCATTTAAACAAAACGACACAAAAACGAACAGACAAACATATATACCAGATTTCAGAAATTAAACTGAGTGAAATGACGATGGAGTTTTTATTATTAATAAACCTTTAAATAGATTTTCATTTCTGTTCAAAGGGCTCAGTTTTATTCGACATTTTATCTTTTAGATCTTCTTCCTGCTGCCCGACTGTTCCAGTCCAAAGTGACCATTACATTTTATTTTTACTAAACCAGCGGTTCAAAGTGATTAAAAATGCATTCAAAGATCACAAACTTTGGAGCAGAGTTGTAATAAAATATTTGAATCTGGAACAAATTTCAGTTAATATACTGAGTATGTGTTAATAATTCTGCTGTCTGTCATTTTCTTTCGGAACACATGAAAATAAAAATCAGAATAGCGCTTGGTGTCTCTGTTTGTGTTTTTGCATGTATTTGTGCACATTTTGCCTCGTGTTGTATTTATCTGGTTTTACATCATTGTGTGTTTTCTGTCTCCTCTTTGTTTCACAGCATTTGTCACTGTGGACGATGTTTCGAGTCTCTGCAGCTGTTTTCTCAGTTTTTCACCTTCTTGTTTCCATTTCAGTGTCCCTACAGTCATGATTTAGTCTTTATTGTGTTTTTTCTGCTTCAGATGAAAACACATTTATGTGTTTATGGCAGTAATCCATCTGCATGTCCAAGGGCCCATCAGCCAGTCTGTGAAGTTTAATGACCGATTTCTGTAGTCGCTCCGAGTCCAGATCGCTTCTCCCTGCTCCTCTGTTCTTTAACGTTAGTCTGCTTCACTGGTCCCTCTTTGACCTCTGACCTCTGTATGAGAACAGGTGAAGAAGGCTAACAAAGCAGAGAGTTGGGACAGAGACAGGACTACAGGCATAAAATCAAAGTAAAATGTGAGCATCGCTCATTTTTGACTTTCACGCCAAATAACAACTGTATTCTAATAAAACTCATCCATTTAAGTATATTAAGGTTTAAAGTTAATCATTTACTCCCTGATGTTAGCATCACTCAATCGAAATATCTGTGTCCTGAATGAAAACATCATTTATCTCTAGAGGAGGTCCACAATTCAGCTTTTATTCTGAAGCGCCCACTTCCTCCCTTCACACCTGAAGAGGTTTGTGAGCAGGTGAAGCTCTGTTTCTCTGACTCAGCCTGCAGCTGTCAGCAGCCTGTGCAGATCAGTTGAGAGCAGCTTTGAGGAGATGAGGAAGCCTTTTTATAGCTTTACAGTTTTGTGAGGGGCCTCAGGAAACCACTCAGCCACACTAACAGAACATTCAGGGGCACCGAGCTCTTTGTTTCGCCTTTCTCTCCTTTTCTGCCTTATGGACAAAAGTACATTCCTTCACACACGCCTCCGCCTGCATCAGTCCAGACGCTCGGTCCAGCTTTTGGTTTGTCTCGTATGTTACATTTATTGTGCAGACAAACAAGCAAGCCCAGTCAGGCACAAGAAGTAACCGTATTAAAGTACTCGAATACTCTCAGAATCAGACAAAAACCTCGTTTTGCAGTAAAACGTCTCCTGTGGCTGATGCCTGATTCTCAGTCCAGGCCTCTGAGGTCAGACCCAGGGGTGAGGAGTCGTTATGTGAGGGAGAGACTCCAGTATTCTTGTAACATGTGACCATGCAGACAGAGGCGATGCAAGCAAAGAAAAACAAACCAAGAAGTTCAGAGCGCAACAAAAACAAAAGGACAAGGAAATCCAAAGAGACGAGCCGGTGAGGACAAAAACAGAAACACAAAGCACTCACCCTACATATGAAGACTGACCCTGTTCTCATTTTATAACCCCTCCTTTGGTTCCTCCACCAGAGACCTGGGGAGGCTTCTCCTCCTCTGTGACCTGGAGGAGGACAGAGGAGGGAGGAGTCTGCAGGAGGAGCTATCAGTGAGGATGCACAGGTGTATCCTGTGGAAGTGTTTTAGGTGGAGGGAGGTGGGCACTTTGAACAGCGGGTCCTTTTTCTCCACAAACGGTTTCTGTTATTAAAGACGATCAAATGTTCCCCCGTCAAAACCAAACAAACACTTTTTAATATTTTCTCCTTTTGGTCGCGTCTCAAATGAACTCTCAACAGTTTTCAGAAGATTTGTGGGGAGTTATTATAGAGTTAACATAGAGTTATCATAGAGTTATTATAGAGTTAACATAGAGTTA